ATATTACAGTATTATATGTAATTCCTTTCGTTGTATTATCTTACTAATTGTGCGCTCCCCTAATTTTAATAATACTGTAATGAATATTGAATGACTCTGAAATGCAATACTACTATTCATAGTTATATACTATCCAAGGTAACCCCGTTTTATTAATACTTTGCAAATAAAAATATATAACGTTTAACTATGTAAATTCGTCTGTACTACTGCATTATTTACTATAATATTTTATAATAAACTTTATTATCCCCTCTTTACTTTCAATTTACGCCAATATTCTATACTTGAATCTATGTAAATCACTTTACTGGGCGATTATACAATTAGCATACCAAACTAACTTTAATCTGCTAACAATTGCTTCCTTAATTATAAATGTCTTAAGATCTAATTTAACTAAAGATACTAACAGGATATTTGGGTTCAACTTTGATCCCCATGACGGTTTTCTGATGCGGAGGCGAAATGCATCAATTCAGTATTCATCAAAGCCAGCAAAAGTCCCCCTCAGGACTTTTTGCTAATCTTAAAATGACGAGAGTGTCGCATTTAGTCTTGTTGTCAGGGCATGTACCATGTCCACTGTCTGATGCTGGGAATTATGACAACTACTATGGCAGACTACTTCGAACTAGATTGGTTCTACTAAGTCACCCTGACAACAAGACCAAGTTACAACAACGAGGTCAGCCCACTTGTATACATCGACAGGAGACTGCGACCATACCAAATATCACAACATCCTGTTCTTCATATCTTAAAATGACAAATTTATGACCAATTCGGATCGAATAACCATTCGCATTTATCCTATTTTGCTGTTCGATTGCCAACCCTCTCATTCCCGTCAGACTTTGGCTACCACATAATGACGCCAGACAAACTTCGCGTGGCCGATTGGCTTATACGTCAGAACTCCACAGACGAGGCTGTGTTACTGTCGTCCTCGGCCATTTTGACATTCCAACCGGCCGATCCGATCCCACCGACGGCCAGTTCAACTCGGGCCGATGTAGCGCCCGGCCTGGCGGTCCCGAGGCCGGCGGGCGTGTGTGTTTCGCGTTCAGGGCCGTGTCTGCGTCGTGTCAAAGGGTGGAACTCGAGCGTCTGCCGGCTCGGTCGAGAGACGGAGACGGACTCGGTCGGTCGGGTCTGGCGTGGCAAGCGTATCTCCAGTCTCCGTTCGCGCCTCAAAGGTTCAGTTGCCACGGCCACGGCCGAGGACGGCTATGCCGGTTTGCAGTTGTCTCATCCGCATATCGGCCTGACCAACAACCAGCCGGATTCCGACCGACAGGCTCGAGGCAACGGTCGTCATGACGACCGTGTCTGCAAGTGTGACTGTTGTTGCTGCTGCAGTCGGTGTCAACGGGCCGGGGATCCCAAGACTCGAACCTTCGGCCGACCAATCAAACGCACTCTTTTGGCCTATTTCGGCTCTCAGGAGGCCAGATTCACGAATGAAACCAGCGAGAGCCGGGAGGCTGGACGCTGTCCAGTCGGCCAGCGACAGATGATGCTGGTGATGGCGGTGAGCAAACGCCACAGGCACCAGCATCAACTGGTCCGTCGTTCCGGGGCTGCGGAGGAGGGAGAGGCGGAGGAGTCGCGACGTTGGCGACGACGCAAAGGCGAGAAGACGACCACAGCGACGGAGACGGCGACGGCGACGGCGACGGCAACGGCAACGGCGATGGTGAAACCGGACGACGCAGTGGCCAAAATGAGAACGGCAATGCCTCGACGACTCAACGTCGACGTCGACGTTGATGTCGACGTCGTCTCAGTCGAGAACCGGCACCGTCTGGAGGCGGTGTCCGACTCGGTTGGGCTGTTGCGAGGTAGAGACGGCGAGCCGGACGGCGGAGAAGCATCGGGTGAAGCACACGGCAGCCTGAAATGCGTCGGACAGCACCAACGTCGGTCTCGTCTGCCGACGGAGGATGCCACCAGCGCATCGCCAACTCGTACTCGACGTCTCGACTCTGTTCGAGCCGTGGAGCCCATCTGCTGGCCAACATCGAAACAGGCATCGCTGCCTCAGACGATTGCATCAAAACCCCACCTGCATCACATGTCCTCGGCTGGTCCGGGCTCTTCTGTCCCGCCCAACTGGAGTCTCCATGGCGACTGCGTCGAGGCACAAGCCGACAATCATGCTCCACATGCCTTCTCCTCATCCTCCTCCTCTTCTTCTTCTTCTTCTTCTGCTTCTGCATCTTCCTCTTCCTCCTCATCTTCTTCGTCAGCGTCGGTGTCTTTGCCGTCGGGCGCCAAACCACCAGACGTCACCGGCGTTGCCGAGACGACTTCCGGCATGCACTGGTCTCCAACTCAATGGAACAACACTCGTAACGGCCTCAAGACGAGTCTGGGCCACGGGGATGCACTTCAGATGGAGCCTGAGGTAGGTAGTCCGTCTGGGCCGCATGATCTGGCGACAGGTCCTCGGGAGAAATGACATTTTTGCCACATTTTTGACAGACCGGCTTGACATGTACCGTAATGCTCTCAGAAGGTGGATCCCATTGGAAGAGGGCAGCTGATTCCTCTTGGCTTCTAGATTGACTTATTGCTTAAACCAACAAAATAACTTTATGTGGACACTTTCATTTCGTATGAGAGGGCATAAAGAAGAGATTAGATGATCTATCTCACCAGAAGACGACGGATGACTTCTGTTGTACTGCGGCCATTTGGCTTCACTATGACGCTCATGTTGACACAGACCACGTTACATCCTCCCTGGTTTAGGGTGAAAATGGACTGAGCTATCGTACATCATCTGACGAATGTCATCATAGCTGGAAGTCAATTTTGCAAAAGTCTCAAGCTCACGTTAGGGCAAGAAGACTGCCCGACTCTATTCTACCTTTTATGT